AGAGAGGGAGGGAGGGAGAAAGACTAACCAGAAGCAGTAACTGGTTTCAAAGAGGAATTCCTCAGACCCCTCGAAACATCAAGACCCAAGGTGACTCCGTCAGGGTAGAGAGAAGGCTTGGCCTTCTTAACAAAACTGTCATCTCTACTGTACACCTCTCGACTACCCTCAACTGATGCTTGTTTAGAGAGAGAATCAAACCCATCACTAGCACTATGAACACTACTGTTAGATGTAGAAGCAACGGATGGCGTGGCAATTGTATGTTTTCCATTAGAATGAGAGTTCTGGCTATAATTCATGGACGACGAAGGCAGAGCTTTCGAAGCTCTTTGAAGCAAGTCATCGAACAATGCATGGGTCCTCTCGAGATCGATGAGTTGCAGAGCTTCCTTCTTTTGATATTTGCTCTGAAAGAACACCAAGTTTTTCTGCATCTCTTGCAACACAAAGAATAGCTCATCAGGAACATCAGGGGCCTTTCTCTGTCTATTAATTCCATCAATTCTCGCATGTTCTTCTTTCTCTACATTTTGAATAATGGCCATGGCTGCCTCTACCTCATCTAGACCAGGCCTAGTGGGCAAAGATCTATGAATTCTCATGATCTCTTCCACTACGCCATCGATTGACTGTAAAAAACTACCCATTTTTCTCACAAACCCAGATAAAAAACCCCAGAATTCCTCGGAGTAATTTCAGATTTTTCAGCTCAATTTCATCAATTCTCCGAGAAACTATGTTACCACTCTGTAAGATAAGAAACCCAAATCAAAATCTGTTTCTTCTAAGAATTAAACTGATTTTCTCTCTTGAACCGAAAAAATTTGTATTCTTTTCTCCAAAACCAGAACCCCAATTGAAAACGTTTTCTTCTAAGAAATTGAGCAACTCAGAGAGCTCCATATATATACTTGTAAATCCGGGAGAAGAAAAAAGCTCTACTAATGAAAGGGAAAATAAAATAAAACCAGATATTCACAGTTTCAAAAAAAGTTAAAAAAAAAAATAGATATTCAGCTCCAGTCCATCAAAATACTACAAAAATACCCACCATATAATCTTCAAAATCCAGAAAATTAGATATAATAAGGCCTGATTCTCTTTGGAAAACACAAATAGAAAAGGAGCCAGATCATAAAAAAGACCCAGTTTCAACAAAACCCCAACTAATCTACTATTCCATTCATGAGAAAAAGGCCCAAAAAATATCCAGTCTAATCCCATGCAAAACCCATGAGAAAAAACAACCCATTTTCTCCAATTTTTGCTAAAAAACAAGCAAACCCAGATCACAAACTATGGTTTTATAGAAGATATTTAGAGAAGGCATTGAGATATATTCATCCCAATTCCATGGCTTCTATGGATTTCTGGAACATTCCTAGAGCTTGCTGGAATTACAGGCCATTTTATGATTGAGGAAAAAGAAAACAGAGCTTAAATAATTGAGAAAATATAATATTTGGGGGGTGTTGTTTTCTGCAAATTCCAGCTATTTTCTAGCCTAAAAAAGGTCAATTCTTTGTGAATATACAAAGAGGAGAGAGAAAAAGGAAAGAAGAGAGAGAGAAAGATAGGAAAAGGGAGAACAAAAAGCCTGAAAAAACCGTGAAAACAGACAGAGACTTGTGGGGGTGAGAAATAGGGGCAAAAGCCATTTTCTCACAGTTACTTGGTGGCATCATCGGATTTTTAATTGCTTATTATTTACTATAAAACCCCTTTTGACAAGTGGAAATATCTGGTCTGGCCTTATGTGGTTAATGGGTTTCATTGGGTGAGATTGCCCGCCCATTAATACGAGAAGCATGCCAAAAGCCAACACTAATATTTTATTGGCTTTTTTGGGCTTTTGGAATTTGGGTTCAAAATTTTATTACTTAAAATACAAAGTCAAAGCTAGGAGGAGATAGTTTCTAAGTATTTTCAGCCCTTTTTATTTTCCTTGGAATCTCTATTTCTCACAAAAAAAATGTGGATTTGTGAATTTTTTAGGAAAACAAACAATAGCCCCGATCTGACTTGGAACTGGGTTGGTAGTTCCCGGTTCCTTTTATTTTTGACCTGTAAACAGTGGGAATCGAGGGTGGGACAGTCGGTAATTCCCCTTGCCTTATGGTCCTAATCATAGTTAGCAAAGTTTAGTTTTTAAATGTATTAAGAACTCTGAGTTTTTCAAAAGATATTCAAAAATTATTATTTTTAATGGAACCAATATAAATTTATATTTTATCTTTTTCAAAAAAAACTTTTCAAAAAAAATTCTTTCTTGTAACTTTATTTCGTCGTTAACTTAGTAATATTGAATCTTTGTTTAAAGATAATTACATTAACAATGGGAGTAATTCAAGAATCTTGATTTAATAAAGCATTCCATCAAAAATTTCGCCAATGAGTTCCCTTTAAAAAGTGTACGGAAAAATGCGAGCAATATATTTCCCAAAAAAAAATAACCACCAAAAATCGCATATCTCAAAATAATAGCTAGAATTAGAAGAAGAGTAACCCAATGAAAAATATTGTATTTTTTTTTTTCTAAAAATTAATAAAAAAACAATCATATATCTCAAAATAATAATTAGAATTAGAAGAAAGTGTAACCAATGAAAAATCTTGTATTTTTTTTTTCAACCCATAGCATCCTTATAGGTAAGAGAGAGATTTAATGATACTAAATATTTCGGTAGCTAGGAATTCCGCACGATATTTGAATTTTTTTAAGCATTTGTTGTTTTTTAAGCGAAGTTGGATTTTTTATTTTATTTTATTATATTTCAATGATGTATACAATATAGTATTTTGGATGGACCACTATTTTAAATATTTGGGTCTTTGAGTTTTCTTTTAATTAACTGCAATCCTATATTGAAAGTGTTTTTTGTTTTTTTTTTTTGAAAAACAATCCTATACCTTAGATTACAATTCTTGTTATTTGTTAATTAATTCTAGTGTTTATTATTGTTGTCATTTTATGCTCTCCATAAATCCCCAATATGTTTTGTGTTGTGACAACATAGTAAGCATTGTTGTTGGATTTATTGAAAGTTTCAAGAAAAAATCATCAAGGACTACTCTAATAACACTAGTAAGGCTATAAAATTATTGTTTAATGGCTTTAATATATCTATACAATAGCTGCAAATCACATATGATAATCTTTACATATCCAATTTTTTCTCCACATTTTTTGGAACCATATCCGAAATAATGATGATTGTATAACTTATCTTATGTTTTGGCGATATGTAGTTTTTACTTAATTTTTTCCTCCAAAATTTTGAAATAAAACGTATTTATTACCGATTTTTTGGTCTATTTGATATTTTATTATTCCCTAATTTACTAATATGGCCTTAATATTGGTAATCACCCAAGTTTGATGTGACTTGGGTGGCTCTTTGTTGTAAACCGCCCAAGTCACTGTATAGAATTAGATAATTTCATAATCTTAGAGGACATTTTCCTCTTAGTTTCTTTCATCATCTTTTTCTTTTCTTTTTTTTAATTTCATTTGGCCCTTTCATGGATTCGAGTAGTAGGTTTCAATAACCTTCTTATAAGGGGAAACAAGAATCTTGAATCTCAAGGTCCTATTAAGATCATGTACTTAAGTGACTAGAAACCGACGAGAGTGCAAAGCATAGATACACATGAGAAATAAACTATTAAAACACATGGACCACCACATGAAACGCACAATATATATGGCTCACCATAAATGAACTACATCTACCGGAATGGTAAACGAAATAAATCATACCCATGAGAATCGCCTTACAGATTTTTAGATCACACAATTGTCTAACCTTTGTCAAAATCCTGTCGGGTAACCGTTACAAACTAGCAATACCAACCTATGTCACCAGCCAGTTACACATCTCTATTTCATAGCTAAATTGATGTCCATAAAAGCTAACCTTGATAACAACCCCGTGCTAAAAAAAAATATCACCTAAAATCTTAATGAGAACCACATCTCTATAAAAAATAAAAAAAACCAATTTCCCACCGTATAAGAAGCACCATCAGCATTTCTCTCTAGGAACCTTACTTCTCTATGTGTAGAGGCCTTGCCTCTCTTTGCATGCGCTACCACTTTAAGCAGGAAGCCCATGCTTTTTTTTAGTAGAAGCCACCTTTTTACAGGCCATATTGGGCATACAAGTTTGTCCAAAGCCAACAAAAATAAAAATCCCAAGGGATCCAAGTGCTGCTCACGACTCTGTGGAGAAACTAAAGTTTCTGTGCTCTTTCTTTCAAACTTCACAGGCAATGTATTCCTCCATCTATTTTGGAACCAAAATATCAATGAAAGTTAAAAATTAAGGGAAAATTTAACCTCCATCTATTTTGGAACCAAAATATCAACGAAAGTTAAAAATTAAAGGAAAATTTATCAATATACCCATGAGAGATGAACTATAACAATATTTTGCCCATTTAAAACTATTTCAATTCACGAGCGCTTGTTGTTTGATGGGTGTTTTAAAATTAAATCAAAAGATATAGATAGAATGTTAAATAATCTATCTCCTATAACTATTAATAAATTTTCCAACATCAAATATTTATAAGGAAAAAGTTTATATAGAACTGAGGCTCTAAACAGTCAAATTAGATCCTACCAGAAAAATTTCACTAGAACATGTTGTTTTGATGTTCAAATATCCTCAAATTGATCATCTCGACATCAAGATGCATAGACATAAGAAAAAAATGGATTTCAAGTTTTGGAAATAGTATATTTTTTAACGTATTTTTGGACCGTCAATTTTAAAAAATTTCAAGTTTTCATAGGGATCTACAATATTTTTGAAGCTTTAAGCTTTATAAATAAAGATGAAAATATATTTTAAGGCTCTCACAAATATTTTCAGTATTGAAACCATATTTCTCGACACTATTTGAAGTTAGGCTCTAATTTGATTGTTTAGAGGGCTAGGCTCTAGACAAATCGCACCCAATATTTAAATCTCGACATTCAGTAAATACCTCTACACACAAAATAATACATAATCCAAAAAATCATGATCAGGCCGACATTGGCCCTAGCCCGACCTTGATCCCCATAGGGTTGGCCCTGACAGGGCCAATGAAGACTTGGGCCAGGCCCGACTGTATCTCTATCTGACATGAGCTGGGCCAGGCAGGCCATTGCCACCCTTACCCATTAATATATAAGATTGTATACAATGTGATCATTTACCTTTGATACAAGGAAAACGTTTATATAAGGATGCAACCTTATAATGTAGAACTACGGATGCACCTAAAAATCCATCGGAAAAGGTAGTTTTAATGTTGAAAAACCTTTTGATTGATCATCTCGACATCAAGATATCTGACCATGAAAAATAAAAAGATTTTAAGCCTTAGAAATAGGGCATTTTACAACATATTATCTATACCGTCCATTTTCAAGATTTTCATATGTTTATAGATCTACTTGATTTTAACCATCTTTTAAATTTAAAATTTTATAATTAGATATAAAAATAGATTTGGAGATAATCCTAAAAATATTTTACATCAAAATTATATATAATGATAAAATTTGAAGTTGCACCTTACCTCTAGAGCTACGGATGCATTTGTATGCAAACTGCACCCTTGATACAATAAGGCCACAATTACTTACAACCATCTGATGTGAAATCTGATAGCTTGGATGTGTAACAAAGTTTGAGATAATTTCTTTTGAAGTTTGAGCTTGGTCAATGAAATAAATGAAGTTATCTAATTTACATCTAATGGTCAATACTAATTGTGACCAACTTGTACCAAAGATAAATGGTCTCACGATATATATTTTCTTAACCTATTTTGGCATAAAAATAAAATTTCAAAGTATCCTTTCGAAGTCACTTAAAGGGCGTGTTTGATAATAGGAAGTGGCTTCTGGAAGTTGAGAACTTCTTAACTTTTCGTGTTTGATAAAAATGAGAACCCCAAATAGAAAGTTTTCATCTTCTTACACCCCTGTGTAAAAAAAGTTCCGACCCAAAGGTTGGAAGCTAAAATAGGAAGCTCTAAACTTCGTCCCCATTCGATAACCCAGAGCACCCCTCCCCTTCGTTAAAACCCTAATTTCTGAGCACACCCCCCTGCTGAGCACCGACCCCACTGAGCACTCCTCTCTACGCTGCTAAGCACCTGCCTCGTTGAGCGCCCCTCTTTTCGTAACTTCCCATCTCGCCGCTAAGCCAGCCCAACACGCCATTATCTCACCCAAACCTGTGATCCTTGCCATTGATCTTGAGGTATACATTTTATTCTCTCTGTTATTGATCATTGTGTTTGTTCTTGAGATCTTGAAGCAAAAGGCTCTTATTATTGATCTATGTGCTTGTTCTTGAGCTTTGGAAGCTTAGAGCTCTTATTCCCCATGATTTTAAGGTACAAGTTTTTTTATAGGTTTTCCCTCTTTGTTGACTTTCAACTTGGGTCTTCTTAATTATTATTTTTCTCTCTTTTTCTCTCTGTTATTTTCTCACTGTTTGAAATCGGCAATGGATATTACTTGCTTATGAAATGCCCTTAAGTGTTTAATGTTTGTTGGAACTTAGTATTTCTATTCGATTATTTGGGGTCGTATTCTTTAATC